TTCACTGCGAAATATTTCATTAGCTGAATGAGAAACAAAACGAAAAAGAAGCGAGCGCGGCGGTGAGAAGCGTAACAGTGGGGGTTCGCAAAAAAAAAGAAGAAGAAATGTAATGGAGGTAAAACAAATCGCAATGAGACAGTGGTCGAAGTGAAAAGCAGCACAAGCATTCAACTACCCAGAAAATATATCGAAATAGAATTTACACTATGATGGAGAGTTTTGTGGCAATGCCAATTGTAAATGAAATGCGAGAATGAATATATGAACATGGATATGAATCGTTGTGGTGAAATGTAGCTCATATTTTCTTGCAAATTTTATGTGCAACGTAACATATTCGGATTCTGAACAAAAATTGCAAATGCAAAAAAAAATCATTATGTTTGACTATTATTTGCAACGAGCGTAGAGATATTTTTTACACCGCAACGTTTCATACACTTCTATTCGATTTGCCAAAATTCACCGAATTTTCAAGCTTAACATCATCCATATATGACTAAGGCCGTATTATTTCGAAGCGAAAAAAACCCCGACTTGAGCAAAACCTCATCGCCATGTACTATATAAAACAATTCATTCTCATTTTCACATATTCTCAATTTTTCTCGCATCTTCACTCTCTACCGCCTGAATTAATATTTGCTCCACACATAAAATGTATGTATATATGTGTTTTTGTTGTTTTTTTCTACGTTTGCAATTCTGAAAAACTTTTTCCGGTGAAATAACTCACTTTTATAATTTGTTATTTTATCTATTTGTGCCTGTCAAACAAATAATAATCCAATCGGTTTATCTGTATGTTGCGCGAAAATTCGCACACCGTCTTGCTTACCCTCTCGCTATATATCAATTTTACTTCTTTCGCATTTCGATGGCTCTTTCATCTTTCTATCTGAGCACACAAGAATTGTTAAAAGTACATTTGGATTTAAAGTCGTTGGTTTGAGCCGTTGATGTGCACACTCTTTCCCTTGATCTCTTTCTCTCTGTCTCGCCCTCTTTCACACACACATAAATATTGCATAAAGTGTGCATGAGGTTTTGTTAAAGTTGTGACAGATTTGTTATATGTTTTAAGAAAATCCAAAAGCTGTTACGCCGTAAATGTATTTTCACGTTTTTATGCGTGTTTCTTTATCTTCTCTTCATCGTCGTCATGATCAGCATCATCTTCATTTTCTCTCTCTCTCTCTTGCCCACTCTCGTATGTGTTTGTTTGTTATGTTCGGTTATTTGTTGATGTAATTCTTGTCGCTTTTTTGTTAATTATCCCATTTTCATCAAGTTTTTGAAAAAAAAAAACGTTGTTCGCACTCTCATACACACATAGACACCCTGCACACATATCATGCTTTGTCTTCATCGGGTGGAAATAAGATTGAGAGAAAAGTATGTGTGAAAAAAATAAATAAATAAATAAATAAATAAAAAAAATACAAAAGGAATTAAAGGAGATGAAGAGCAATGCTAAAGTATTCGCACACAAACACACATCCATACATACCCTCAGTGGCAAAGCCAACCGAATGAAAAAAATAAAGCAAACAACAATGACAGAAAGAAAGTACGGAAAATCGGCACACACATATCGGGAAACGAAAACTGTTCCATCGACAAAGTAGCATGGATAAAAAAAGGGACACCGACGAAGACGAAGCAGAAGTGAAAAAAATAAAAAAATAAAGTAAACTTTTTAATGTACACTTTTCAAAAACACATAATACAACACAAGAATAAAGCGAAAGCAATAAGAATAAGTAGTCGGTAGTAATGCCATGCCATGCCATGCCATGCAACAGGACTTGCGAACGATACAGATAACCAAACACCGAAGCAACAAACAAATTTTACACAGCAAGTGAAGGAATGAGAGCGAGAGAGAGAGAGAGAGAGAGAGAGAGAGAGAGAGAGAGAGAGAGGAAAAAAGTATCAGCAAAGAGAGTTAAAGAATTTTCTCCCTATAAAAATGTATACCATTTCGAATGGCTAAAATAAAAGTACTGTAATCCCCAAGCTTTTGCACACCGAATCGTTACGTTGAATTGTGCGCTAAGCTTATAGGCCTTAATGCATGTTGGGAACGCGTTTTATTCGGTATTTTTGGCATCTTTGCATGGCATCAAATTTTCTCGCTCTCTGACTCTCTTTTACTCATGTGGCTCCTTTGTGAGCCGATCATTCAGTTATGCTTGAGGTTTTTTTCGTTCGTCCATTCCCATCAATTTTCTTCTTGCTCCTTTTCACTGTTATTTGTTCTTACTTGCTGCTTGTGCTGCCACAGCCACTGCTACTGATGTCTTTTTTATTCTGGATTCATCTCCATTACATTCGGATTGAATGAGCCAGAACCAATAGCAAGTATTTGCTTGCGTTTAATGTAAACTTTAGATGCATGTGTATTTGTTATAAAAAAAATTTCGCTTTCTCTGTCTCTGTCTCGCTCTTATTCATTCGTTCGGTTAGTATTTTCATTGAGCAAGTTATCGTTTGGTATTACACTATTGCATATATGGATCTTTCTGGCTGAAATATTAACGCATTAATTTAAATAAATAATAGAATTGGTTTGTATACTTTTCGGCTTGTGTACATTTCATTCAGCCAGTTGCTGTTCGTTCTGGTTTCATATGAAATAGCCGGATGATGATGCCACATGTACACATACAAAGCATACACACACGACAATCGACGACGGTATTCTAAAGCAAATGTGAATATGCGATTTTTATTCGAATGCGGAATATCCGTATAGAGAGATAGTGAGATTTGCCTGTGCTCTGTTCTACAATGTTTACATGTGAGAGCACACGCGTATGTTTGCAAAATACACGATGAAGCAATTTTTCCACAGGTAAAGTGAGTGCCAATGTTTTACGATGCTTTTCACTTACAAAGTACACATATATAATATATATACCATGTGTGCATGTGGATTTGTTTGTACCACTCACAGTACACAAACAAAATATAACTATGACAGAGAAGGGAAAAAAATAGTTCAAATATAATCTCCATTGTTTCTGCACGAATTGTTTCGTTTAATGTATTCGCAATCGGCATCAGTATCAGAATGTTTATCCGAATTGTGCGCTTTTGTCCGCGCACTCATTCTCTCTCTTTCTCTTTACACAGAGTATTTTCGTTCAGCTTTCGCCTCAATACCACTGATATACCACATAACCAAAGCACACACATTTTACTCAATTCGAAACGTTTACATTATATTTATATTTGCGTTCCTTACGAAATGTGTGTTTGTTTGGATTTCTGTATCACCATGTAGTAAATATCTAAAGCAAACAAAGTATACATTTCACTTTATGCATGCTCAAGAGAGCAAGAGAGAGAGATCGAGAGAGAGAGAGAAGGCAAATGAGTGTGACTTGGTCGGTTTGTTGCATGTATTTCTTTATTCCGTTCAATGGAAGCGGAGAAAAGCACAAAATACATTTACTTTCTTTCTCTATCTCGCTGATTCAATTCCGAAAATGTGGCTGATAAAATGCGGAGTTTTACTGTTTATATATTTGTTTTTGCAACCCTGCATTCACTCCAACTGTGCATATAGATATAGATATCATGTGTATAGTCAAAAAAAGAAAATTCACTAAATAAAATTATAATAACAGAAAAAGCGGAGCAGAAAACTTCAAAACAAATGAAAAAACAGAAAAGAATCGTTTCTCGAGTAAGAATAGACAAAAGTTTAATAAGTTGGTGTTGGAGATGTCTTTCTCTCATTCTTTCTCTTTATGTATTCGAAGTCATTTTCCTCAACTTGTGCCTATTCACACAAAAAATCCTCCTCCCTTCTTCGCCTTGTATAAACGATACCGAAGCAACAACAGCAATAACAGCTGAACAAAAAAAAAACACACGAACAAGAAAAAAAGAATAAAATAACGGCAAACAGCCGTGATAAAGAGCAGAAACGCGAGCGCGAGAAAGCGAAAAGATGACGAAAACAAAATAAAAAAAAGAAAGAAATAATAAAATAATGTTTCGAACCTTTTTCACACTTCTGTTCATCTTTTTTTTCACTCTCTTTTGTCCTTTTTCTCCCCTCGTTCACTTGAAAATGATTAACCAAAAACCAAATGTATATCTCTGTACTATATATCTAATATATATATTCATTTCTTGTGATGCGAAAAATGTATTTAGAAATAGGCAGCGCGGCAGCCTCTGGCTGGATGGCTGGCTGACTGTTTGGCTGACAGTAGCTCTATAGCAGTTGGCATTGTATTATTGTTATTATTATTCACGCATTTTAAGCATTTCGAAATGTGTACCGAAAAGTAAGCTTGCCAATGGAAATGGTATATAAATATAAATGTATTTGCCGTAATTTCGTTTTGTTGGTCTGTCAGCTGGCACTCACGCGCGCATCAATTTAATTTTCACACTCACACACCCACATATCCATGCCGACAAACCAAGAGACCAAAAAGTCTCTCACACTCTTTATCCTCTTTGGCGCGTGTGTGTGTGTGTGTCTGTTTGTGGGCTTGAAAATGTATCGCTGTAGAGAAAAAGACAATCAACGCACATTAAATTGCAATATGGATTATATTCGTTATAATTTTGTGTATGCTTTTTCTTTCTTTCTTTTTTTCTCTGTCGCTTCGGAAAATGCTGGTTCACATATTTTTCCTGACGCTTAATTTTTGATTTTTGGTTCTTGGCTGCTGCTGTGATGCTCTGCTGCTGTTCGACGGTTGGATCATCGCTTATGCTCTCTATGTAATTACCATCATCCATACCATCCTGTATGCGCCCGGTTCACATTGGAATTTTGACTGTTGCTGTGCTGTTACTGGTGGTAATATAAATTGCATATATATCGTACTCGCGCGCGCGCGCCCATCGACTTCAACCAAATGAAACGAAATGTAACACTGTGTGAACGTCGAAATAATACAACACGGAAAAAAAACTACCAATGAAATAAAAAAATTTATATATACGAATGATACTATATAATGGCACAGGGACCGATCCAAATTTGGCAGCCGCATACGTATCAGCCGGTCTGCCACAATTTGCAACATCAGCATTGTCAACGTCTGCACTCGGTAATGTTTCTCTACAATCTACCGCTGGCAATGCACTCGTTGGCAAACAAATAGAAGGTAAGTATGCAAATAACACGTAGCAATTATTTTATAAATTATAACAATGGCAATCGTCATAATCATCATTTTTAATGGAACATGGAATTATGTTAATCAACGCCAGGGAGCGAATAAGTGAGATAGAATTGGTAAAATTTGATTCGTATATTTTGTTGTCGAGAATTGTCACAATTTCTCACTCTCATTCTACCATATATCTATCGTCAAAAATTATCGCGTTTGCAATTTGCATGCAGTTTGATCTATTCATCGTTAAATCGATCGATTTCCCAAGAGTTGAAGCATTTTACAAACTAGATCGACACATTTTACGAATGAAAATGCATGACACATGAGACAGACGAGACAGACACACACGCATTCACTCATCCTTTCACACATGTTTAATGAAGAGACAGAGAACAAAAAAAATCGAGTCGCCCGTCGCCAATGCCGCCGACACCGTCACCGTCACCGTCAATGACAAATGCAAGTCACATCAACCGTTGCAATAAACAACGAATGAACCGGGAGCATTAAAATTAAATGGCAACCAAATATTACCAAAATTAACGATAGATCCATCTGGATGCTTTCGTTTAAATCATAAATTTAACAACTTTAAGTACTAAAACTAATTGAACCTAAAACAAACCATGTTCTGCATCAGGTTCATATTTATTGCCAATCCGGCTTCATTCCGGTATTGCTTATCGAAACGAAGTGAAAACTTGTGCCGAGAGAGTTACAACAAAACAAATAACAATTAAAATTAATTTATTATGCTCGTGGTTGTGTGTATGTATGTGCGCGAACTCAGTTTTCGTAGCTGTTTTCTCGCCCAAGAAGAATTAGTGGAATATGTATGTATTAAATGATTTTTCCGACTTGCTAGCATTAGCGCTAGCTTTCGCGTATTGCACATACACAAACTTCACCCCTAATGTTCACCGATTTATGGTTTTCTTTTCGTATCGTTGGTCTAATGATCAAATTATTTAAACACATGAAATTGCGATGTTTTCAAATGTTCTAAGTGTTATCGTTGTGCTGTATGTATCTCGTGGTGCGCGATGCGCGCTGCGTTGGCGCTCACTTGCCCATTCGCCTCTGTTTGTTCTTTATTTTTCATCATTTGTAGCTGCAACACGCTCGCTACATTAATGTCAAACAATTGTTCGGATTTTCCACGAGCTTAAACATTGCCCCAACCGAATAAAAAAAAATGTGATTTTATTAACCAACTCAACGAGCTCGCTGATGTCTTTTCGGCCATGGCGTATTCTCATTTTTTTGTTGTTCTCTTCTAATTTTTCTTCTTCTATTCTTTGTTCATTAATTCACTTGAATGTATTTCTTATTCTCGTTTTTTTTTTTGTTCTTCTCTTTTTTCTTTTGTGCATGTCTACAACGACTTGATTTCGCCACACAATCAACCAACCAAATTTAAATGCTGATTTTCTACTGGACCGCTCACGCTCATCTTGATTTCTTTTCTCGTGCTTCCCATCGTCCCGATGATTGCGTTTGATGTGTGATGTGGCTGCTGACACAAACATTGATTCATCTTGTTGCGCTACGTAATTTACAACGTCGGCGGGGTGGAAATGATGATGGGAAAGCAGATGCTGCAAATCTTTTTATTTATCATTTGCCACAAGAGTTCACCGATACGGATTTGGCATCGACATTTTTGCCATTTGGCACAGTGATTTCGGCCAAAGTGTTCATCGACAAACAAACGAATTTGTCCAAATGTTTTGGTTTTGTTTCATATGATAATCACGAATCGGCACAGGCTGCTATCAAAGCAATGCATGGTTTTCAAATTGGAACGAAACGACTGAAAGTGCAATTGAAAAAACCAAAAGATGCCTCGAAGCCTTACTAAATGATGCGAATTATACGGTGATGCTGAACAACGGAAATTAAGAGCAGCGAAAGATAGAGAGAGGAAGAGAGAAAGGAAGGAGGAAGAAATCAACAACATTAATTTTTTTTTTTTCAAAACAAAGACAACCCGAGATTTTCACAAGTCAGCTAATATCCGTACAACCGAATCAACACACAATGTTTTTTTTACCATTAGTAGAAAATAAACATGCACTATCACATACCAGAATCGCCACGTTTCACCGTGGAAACATTTAACAAACCAATCCATTCGCTTAGATGGATTCTTTAACCAACACACATACACATTTTACTTATTTACTTTATTCCTTTTATTTCTTTTTTCACAATTTTTAATTCTTAACTACACACTTCACTTGTTGAGCATCTGAAAATTACTCAGACGAAAAGATTGGAAGAAAAAAAAAGAGAGAGGAACGAAAGCAAAAAGCTTAGGTTTTGAAAGAACGCATACATATATTTATACTTGTTCACCCACACCGTGTGGGCTACACGCGACAACTGAATGTCAGTGGTGATGAACAACAACAAATATATATATATATAAATATATAAATATATAAATTAATATATTAAACGTAGATAGATTCATACAAATGATAAATCATTGCATCATAAAAAGGATTTAATAACAAAAATATATATAATTTCGCTATTAAAAAAAATGATGGAAAAAAATCACAACAAAGAAATTAGTAATTTAAAATGTACATTGAATAAGAAAGACAGAATTTTAAAGTCGATGATAAAATGCGTGCAATGTGCGTTGATTATTGTACTTTTTTTGCGCTGTTGCAATTCATCTCCGAATGGAAATCATATTTCGAGCGTATGTGTTGCGGGGCGCTTGCCAGAGTTATGGTAATTTACTCAACTCACTTGTGCAGCCAAACATCAATAAATGAGCGCATTCATACACATACAAACATATTTCAATTACATCCGCAGAGATAATTATATTGTACATTTTTTTTGAAGAGAAAAAAATCGCACAGCAGCAAAAAAATTCAATCGTAAAAAAGATCAACGCACACATGCATCTAGGTTATACTTTAATTATTAGGTTTGAGTGAATGAAAATTAAATACAAATGAAATATTGTCGATAAAATATGAAACATAAGTCGATAACAATACACCCGTAAAAAAAATGATGCGAGGTGATGAAAACAAACAAACAAAAATTTGAAATTGAAAACAAAAATGTCGATATTTTATTGCGTAATTCAGTTTTTATACGAATCGTAACAAGAACAACAACAACAACAACTACAACCGAAAATTATTATATCAATCATTGAAATGATTGAAAAAACCAAAAATAAAAACAACAACAAATAATAATTTAAAATTAAAATGTAAATTTAAAAAAAATCATGTGAAAACTGTATGAAGGATGTTAGATAACGGAAATCAGAATTTCAATTATTGTTATTAATCTTTACGTTTTTTTACACACACATACATACATACATACACAGCAAATGAATTGTTTTGATTTTCACTATTTTTCTTGTTTAAAGTCGGATGATGGAAATATTTATTGCGCGCATAAAATCAATCCGCCCTGTTTTGATAATGATGAATTGATGATATATTATGATAGAAAATGAAGTATGTATAAAATCAAATTGATTGCTGTAACCAGTACCTATGCAGCCAACGATGTAATTTTCCTTCGTTTCTTTTTTTCAGTTGTTATTAATTTAAGTGCTTTTGCGCTTTTGTCTTTGGTTGTTTGCTGGTTAGATCTTTTTTCTTTTACCTTTGCTACGAAAAAAATGAATATTAGTAAATAACCATGTGACTCACAAACTGAAAAAATTACATTGAGAAACAAACAACAAAAATTTTATGAACCAACTTAAAATAGATCTACACAAACACAAAATTACACTCACATACATACACAACACAAACATGAAAAAGAAAATTTGAAAAAAAATAACAAACAAACAAACAAACCGAAAATGTGAAAAAAAAGATATATTGTTATCATTGCCGATGAACATACTTTGTGTTGAATTTTTAAAACAAAGAAAAATGAGGAAAAAATAATAATAATAATTAATATATTTTTAATATTGTACCTATGAATCATATAAAAATATTGTATGCACACATTTAAAAACAAAGACAACCAAAAAAGAAACAGAACAAGAAGAGTGAACAAGCCGAAGTGAAAAGGAGAATTTTAAAATAAATGTACTTTTGAAACGTGGAAAATGCTGGTTTTGTTTTTAATGCGATTTTTTCCTCATTTGTTTCAGTCTCTCTTTTGATCAAAATGTTAGCATATTTTTCCAGTCATATAACACGGATGAACTAAATGGGAATGAAATAAATGGAAAAACCGTAAGTTTGTACAGTCGACTATAATGAGGTTGCATAGTATGGAATTAAGTGAATGAGCGAGTAAGTATGAATGAGAATGGATATAGAAAAACAATCGGTGCGTGACATAGACATAACTAAATGTTAAAATGACTGAAAATTGCGAATTTAAAATGGCTCATTTGAGTAAATGCGGCGCGGCCGACCAACAATAATACCAGCTCAAGCTTAATATCATAATCCTGCTAATGCTTATAAATATAATACCATTTAATATTCGGTTCATTCATTCGCTTTTTCGATGCGCTCTCGCTCTATCGTTCACTTTATATTTCCCATCAATTCACTCTTTTTCACATATATTATGGGTTCTTTTTTTGTTACATTCGCCAATTTTATTGTCCATTTTTACGCCGTGCGTACCCTTCAGCACGCACGTACCACGCGAGTCCACTGTGTCCACAACATAAATTGTGGATAACTTTATATGGAAAAAAGATGCCATATTTCAATTATAGCTCAAACCATTTGTTCGACACATTATGAAACAACATACAATTCGTCCCCTTGAAACATAAAAAAATGAAAGTTCGTAAAATGCCACCTTTTGCGCTCCCCCACTGACGTCGGCGAACCGTTGTAGATGATGATGGCGAAGTCAACGATACCAAAAAAAAAAAAAAACAAATCTCAATACATGCATAGAGTCCACAGAAAGAAGTCCACAACAACAATAACCTGACGATCATTTGTAGTATCCAAGATAGTCATGAAATGAACGCCATGAAGTATTGGCAACAGGAAAGCACAAAAAATCAACTAAAACGAATAGCACGCATTTTGAAGAAATGTGCTCCCCTTACGATTCAGCAATCGAACGTCTTCATACAATCCATAAAATACATTAAAGAGCATATTTCTTAACATTAATCATAAATATTCACATAAATTTTCACCATCTGGTTTTTAGTCATTTTTGTTGTTGTTGTTGTTTTCGAAGAGCACATAAAAATTTCGCCAAAGCGTCAATGTACTAAACACATACACATAGTCGTTTTGTAGGAATCTTGAAACATTTCGCTGGTCTCTCACACTCTCCGTTCTCTCTATTTTGCGTGCGTACGCGGACGGTGTTCGAGTTTTCGAGACCCATGTTTAATCAAATCGGATGTATGTCAGTTTAGTTTGTTCTGATATGTATCTGCTGGAAAAAATATATTTGACACTATACAAAAACGTTCACGCGAACGGCCCCTCCTATCCAGCCTGACAAATTTTTGCGATAGGGATTTAGTGACTAATTTGTGACACCAATATTTTGGCCTATGGAATAGACCTTCGGCCAGTTTTGGCCATTTTTCTATTTAGGCCCATTGGCCAAAAAGTCTCTTAGCGAAATTTTGAATGAAAGCAAAAAATAAAAATCTAATGATGCAGAGTTTTAGTGATTAATTTGTGACTCACAAATATGACTTTAGATTTTCGATACGACATCTGGTGGACATATTATGAACAAAATATTGAAAAATGCACAAAAATTATTTTAATCGAATATTTGAAAAGGCTTTTCATAAAAATGAGCAAAATTGTAAAAATTCTTCGACATAATTTTAGTGACCAATTTGTGACTATCAGAAATGTCATCATTTCAATTTGTGACACAAAGTTTGTGACAGAAATCTCAATTTTTCGATTTTCTCACTAAAAGTCGAAGTTGAATGAAATTTTGCAAAGCGAATACGTAAATCCAAATAAATGGTATCATCTTTTAGTGACCAATTTGTGACTCTCAAAAATGTCAAGATTATCCCGTTGGTGCAACTTTGATCATCATGTTTGTCATCGATCTATCTTTCGTCGTGTCCGATTCGAAAAATTGTGATTTCTGTCACACACGTTGTGTCATAAATTCAAATGATTACATTTTTGAGAGTCACAAATTGGTCACTAAAAGATGGCATCATTTATTTGGATCTACGTATTCGATTTGAAAAATTTCATTCAACTTCGACTTTTAGTGTGAAAATCGAAAAATTGACATTTCTGTCCCAAGGAGTGTGTCACAAATTCAAATTGTCACATTTTTGGGAATCACAAATTGGTCACTAAATCTGTGTCGAAGAATTTTTATAATTACGGTTGTTTTTATGGAAAGCCTTTTCGAAATTTCGATAATCATTCTTTTTTGGGCAATTTTCACTTTTTTTTTTAAATGTCCGCCAGATGTCGAATCGAAATTTTCAAGACATTTTTGGAAATCAAAAGTTAATCACTAAAATACTGCATCAATAATTTTTTGAAATTTTGTTTCGTTTCGAATTTTTCAAAATTTTATTTTTTGATGAATAGCCCAGGAAGCACAGCTGTTCTTATCATGTTCTTATAGAATAACGTATTCTTATCCAGTTCTTAGCATATTCTTGCTATTCTTACAATGTTAAAATAAAAATATTATTTAAGAACTAAGGCACTATTCTTTGCAAGTGCTTGACATATTCTTGTTCTAGCTTAGCGCGCACTAAGAAACCCAATTCTTAAGAGTTCTTCTTTTATTCTTAAAGAATTCTTAAATTACATTTGAAAATTGCCATATTTAACGCTGACAATTTGCTGTTCGAAAGAAAACGAGGTTTCAAACAAAAAAAATAAATGTTGAAATTTTAATATTTTTCAACGAATTTAAAATCAATCTATACTAAAATCAATCGAACTATCCTTAAAATATTATAATTTGCAAATTTAAGCTGCAATATAGCGATATTT